AAGCTGCAAACGAGCTGCTTGAGAGCAGCCAGAAGTTTCCAAAACCTGAGCAGGAAGGGCGGCCTGGCCAGTGTGAGGGGCTAAGCAGGCACCGGGGCTGCGGTCCAGCCCGTGCACGCAGCAAAACTCCAGTCGCAGAGACACCGGCTATTGGCTTTCCCTTCCCCTCCCGGCTCCTCTTCCTTGAGACTGAGCAAAGTTGAGGGCTTGGGTTGGCCATTCCACACCTCGCTCTGTGATGCTTTCCTCTTGGTGAAAGAAGCTGCAAACGAGCTGCTTGAGAGCAGCCAGAAGTTTCCAAAACCTGAGCAGGAAGGGCGGCCTGGCCAGTGTGAGGGGCTAAGCAGGCACCGGGGCTGCGGTCCAGCCCGTGCACGCTCAGTCCATGAGAGGACGAAGCATCTTTTTCTCACCCACCAAAGCTGCTTGTGGGCTCACGGTGACGGCCAGGCTGCCCTTCTCTGAAGTCAGATCCCAGGGATGTGGAAGTTTTCCCAGCATAGTAGCATCAAGATTCTGAAATGACCGTTCGCATTCCGTATGTGTTTAGGGGTGTTGAACATGTGTGTGGTGGTGGCGAGGTTATCCTAGATATATTATAGGCTGTAAGACAGACCCCGATGGGAGACTGCGATGTTTCTTATTTTAAAAAATAAATAAAAGTAAGGCAGCCATGGCATGGTGGTTATGGCAGCTGGATCCTTTCTGTCCGACTGTGTGGTTCAAGTCCTGGACCCAGTGGTCCGAAAAACACTCTGGGCACATGTACATCTGGGACTAAAATCCTGAAAGGAGGGAGAAAGGGAGAAAGACTGTGGTGTGACCATGTCCCCATGGGGAATGACTTCTCACTCCTCCGCCCTCCACTGAGCACACATGCCCTCTGGCAAAAATAAACACCCCCCAAAAAAAAGTTATCCTGATCTATCCTGTAGATTTTAGGGCATCATTCCCGAAGTATATATTCTACTTCAGGTCAGTAGCCTTAAGACAATTAAAAAAAAAAACTGTTCTGTGGTCCACTTGAGAATCTTGGGGCTAAACACGAACAGATTTCCCCTGGGTTGCTAATGCGCCCTGTGGGTGCCCAGGGAGGGGATTGGGAAGCGTACTTCTCAGGGTGTGACCACAGAGCGCTTTAGAGAAAGGTTTTAGTGACCACCTTGCCTGGAGGCAGGGGGGTGGCTCATCTCTCCACTAGACCAGTGAGTTTGTCACTTTGAGTCCTCTCTCCCAGTTTGGGGCAGCAGTGGGTGGAGGGAAAGCTCCGGCAGGTGTCCGTAGGTGGTGCTGGGCCAATCCGAGGGCTTTCTGAGGGCTACAAACTCACTTTCCTCAGAGCCTCATCCAGAGCCGCCGGCTCCCTGCTGGAAGGGAACGTCCAGCCAGCTTCTGAACTCAGGCCTCCAGCCCTTATTCTAGTCCCAGAGAAGACAGCAAGGAAGCTAAATGGTAGAATCGCGTCATCCGCCCTGTGAGTGGTGCAGCCGTTCAAAGATCACGTCTGGCTTTGCTCTATGACTGAGTCCCCTCAGGGAGTCCCACTAGTCTCCATCAGTAGACATTTACTGGGCGTGTGCAGTATGTCCCAGGGTGATGTGGGAGAGACAGCGCTGCAGCCTAGTGGCTAAAGGAGCTAGATCCCACATGGCTGCCTGTAGCCTGAATCCCGGCCCTGGCGGCTTGCAAACTACACTGAGCTCTTGTGCATGTCCCAAATCCCAACAGGATAGAGAAAGGGAGAGGAGACTGCAGCATGACCTTCCCCCTCGGGGAGTGCTTTCTCCCTCGCTCCCTCTCTCCCTCTCTCTGTAGTTCTCTTCTCTCTCTGGTAAGCGCATAAGCCCTTTGGCAAATTTTTAAAAAAAGATGAAGTATAAGACAGGAGTTCTTTATTTTGGGAGAGGTTTTTGCTATAGGGCGCATGCACTTGCCAGAAAGACAGAGAGAGACAGAAAGTTAGAAATCACCCCGCCCCGGGAAGATGGCCACACCACAATCCCTTCTCCTCTATTCTCCTCTCGGGATCTTGGGCACGCATGCACATGTGCCTGGCATGAGTTTAAGCCACCGGGCTCAGGATTTGAGCTACGGTCGACTACATGGGAGTCCAGGGACATAGCCATTACACCAACTGCTGGTCCCAGGACAGAAATTCTTGTACTTGCAGTTTACAGCTGGGTTGGGGACAGGTGGGGAAAGAACGCTCAGGCTGTTGGCCATGAAGAACAGGGCTGGGGAAGGGACAGGTGGGACCTGTGAGCAGTGGGTTCCAGGAACAGGGCTGGGACAGGTTCAGTGGGCCATACGTAGGGAACCATCCACAGCCAGGTAGAATAATGTGCCTTCCTCAGGGGTGTGGAGATATAACACTCTGGCCACATGCGACTAAGGGCTAGTATTGGTGGGGCAAGCACTGCATGCCACATGACCAGAAGTGGCCAGGCCTAGGAAGGGAACTGGGGACATTCCCACAGCACCTTACCCTCCCTTGCAAGTTGGGCCTGAGGATGATAGAGTTCTTTGCTCAGCATCTAAGGACAGCCGGCTCTCAGCGCACTAACTGTACAGGCATGGGGATCACTGTGCTTGCGCTGTGGATGTAAGAGGCAGAGCTCGGGGTGGCTCGTGTCCTGACCAGAGCCCGGTGGAGAACAAGTGCCTCCTGCCCGGCACACCTGCTCTGTTGTGCCCAGGGCAACGTAAAGGAACAAGGAGTGCCCAGTCCCAGAGAGGAACCAAGACCCCTTAAAAAGGTGGACAGCATCGCCAGCACTTAGTGGGCTGTGGCTACTTAGGGTAAGTCAGTTAGGTTATTTCACTAGTGATGTGTGTGGGAGAAGCTCTGATACACTGTTTCAGAGCCATACTTTTATCTAGCAAGTTGCCTCAGGCTGATACAATGGACTATTTTTTTATTCGAGACAAATAGCAAAAAACATTTCATTGAACGCATTGTATGTATCTGTATATAATGAACGTTTAAGTTAGGAGTCACTTTACAAACTCAAGGAGAAAATTAGTAAATGTTACTAGAAAACCCACAGCTCTTCCTTGGGAGTCTTCCTTTCTTGCTCTGAAGGCCTGGGGACTCCGTCTCCAAGGGGAGTTGGCATTTACTCACCGATGAGGTCAGGACCTGGACTGCTCCTGCCATTGCTTCCTCCCATCACAGTGTGGCGCTGTTGACAGCCGGTTCTGCCCAGTCCCATGAACTGAGCCAAGAAGGTTCTTGGTGCTGACAGAACCTGGCCAGGATTCAGCTCAGGTTTTCTAAGTTGGAACAAGAGGGTTCTTCATGTGACTCCTGGGGTACAGCCTGGTGCTTAATTCAGTCTGATTACGCCCCAATTCTCATCTTCCCAGCCACAGGATTCCACGGTCACGCTCCTAAGAACATCGTCAAGGATGATCACAGTGACGATTGTAATTGACCTACAGTATCTCTCTTCCTAAGGCGGAAGCTAAATAAGAGAACCACAATATTAACCTGAGGTGAGACACCCCCATCAGTAATCATAGCTCCTCCTGCGCGGTTAGTGCAATTCTGCCCCACTCCAGCAAGCCCAGTCACCTCTCTCCATTATTCAACAAGCATTTGTGGAGCTTCCCTTCCATGCCAGTGCTCAGCCAGCCTCTGGGCATATGGGATGGGGAACAACAGGTGCTTCTGGTAAGTGGCCTGAATGAGAAACCCAGGTTGGTGCAGGAGGGCGGGTCCTGGGCCATTTACACTGGGGCAGGAAATGCTCTGAAAGTCCTCCCGACACCTAAGTTTCTTGTAATCAAAGATGCATTTCCATCAATAAAGAGTATGACCCCTGGGCCAGCCTGTGGCATGGTGGTTAAGGTGGCTGGATCCCCCCACACAACCGACTGTGCAGCTTGAGTTTTGGACCTTCTGGCTCCGACCTTTGGACGTGCCCAAAATCCCGAGAGAAGGGATTGCCGTGTGACCACCCCTATCTCCCCCGCCCATGGGAGTTGCTTTCCCATTTTCTCTTCCTCCTCCCACCTCACATGCCCTTGTCCTCACTCTCTGGCAAAACTATAACTAATAATAATAAAAATAAATAAGCAGACTCCCTCACATACTGGGGGCTGCAGGGCGGATTCCTCGTGCTAACTCAGCAGGCGGTCTCTGGCCCCTTTTAGATGGGAGGCCCTGAAGGAAGCAGTGATAAAGCGTGGTCCCCACTCTCAAAGGAAGTGCCATTATTAGGCATTTTTATACACCAGGTCCTCCAGAAGATGTTTTTCGGTGCACCTTTGCTCATTCAGTTTTCCTATGTGATTAATCTCCTCTGAAGGATTTTTCGTGTCTGGAAACAGGGCGCTCGAGGGGCTCACCCTTGTGGGTGAACACAGGCTTTGAACCTGGATCTGCTCCTCTCCAGCAGCCACCCCGCCACCCCTAACCTGTGTACAATCCTGTTTGAAGGTAGGGATGACACAAAGGGGCCCAGTTAGACCTCTCCTAATTGCTATTTTCACTCTCCTCTTCTTTAGAAACGTTCACCCCGGATCCTTTCCACTGATCTGTTATACTCTTAGCAGCTGTTGGTTGGGGCCCCCGGGAAAACCTGGGAATCCTGAAGGCGTGAGCAGCAAGAACCCGGCACTGGAGCCTCAGGTTTAGCCAGTGCAAGGTGCCCCGCCAGGCTGCAGGAGAAGGCCTTCTCAGGGCGCAGTTTGCGGCCTGCCCATGGGAGCCCTGCAGGAGAGCAAGGGCCGGAGGAGTCACAGGGCGACTCCATGTCGGGCTGGATCGGAAAGGGTACCTGCTGAGCCTCCGCAGGGGGCCACACCTGTGTGGAGCGATGGCCCACATTAGGGAATCCTCAGAAGCCACCCCAAAGGGCATGAAGAGGCCCTAGCAAGTCCTGGTACCCCAGAGCCGCCGTTGGCGATGTGACTTGCCTCGTGGTCAGGGCTGCACAGACCCCAAGCAGGAGCCGTTCGGGGACGGTCTCACTCTGGGGCCAGCTCCTGGCAACATCATGAACAACAATTTCTGCCGAGCCCTGGTGGACCGGAGGCCCATAGGGCCCCCCAGTTGCATGCAGCTGGGTGTCATGGCCCCTCCCCCGCAGGCGCCACGGCCCCCCGCCGAGCCCCTGAGCAACGCGCCCTTCCTGCTGTACCCAGGCGCGGCAGAGCCGCCCTACTACGACGCCTACGCGGGGGTGTTCCCCTACGTGCACTTTCCCGGCGCCTTCGGGGTCTACGACTACCCCTTCGAGCCCGCCTTCATACAGAAGCGCAACGAGCGCGAGCGCCAGCGCGTCAAGTGCGTCAACGAGGGCTACGCGCGCCTCCGCGGCCACCTCCCGGGCGCCCTCGCCGAGAAGCGGCTGAGCAAGGTGGAGACGCTGCGCGCCGCCATCCGCTACATCAAGTACCTGCAGGGGCTGCTGAGCTCGGCCCCTGAAGGCGCGCCGCCCGCAGCCGCAGCGCTGCCGGACCACCCCGGCGACTGCCAGGCCCGGGCCCCCACCTCCCTAGCGCCCGATCCGTCGGGGTCCTCCTCGCCTTGCTTCGAGTCAGAGGAATCCAGTCATTGATCGAGCCTGTGACAGCCCGGGGTTGGGACCCACAGGCCCTGTCCTCCACATCCGGGCAGCCGCACCGGGGGCAGCAGGGTAGCCACGGGGGAACCCGGGGTGCAGAGCAGGCCCCGGATACTTGGAGGTCTGCGGCTCTCTAGTATCTGCGCGACAGCCAGTCTCCTCCACCAGCGGAGGTGGCGGGCAAGCGTAAGGCGAGCACCATCGAGACCGGAGGCGCCCAAGGGTGCAGTGAGGGGTAGGGCGCGGGACAGCTCTGGGCGCGCGCTATGTGCTCTCTAGGCTAATTGCCCCCGGGTCTGGCTTCCGCATTCTGTTTTGTTTGGTCCACGTGTAAAGAGCTTCTGGTCGACCTCATCTATTTTTATCAGGACGGAAAAATTCACTGTGGCAGGCACCGCGCTGAACTGCTCACGCCGCGGTGCTCAGCATGTGACAGGCTAATTTTGCCGAGTGCACAGAAGCTCAGAGTCACCGGCACAGGAAACAAGATGGCCTCCTGTACTAGCTCGCTCCGGGAGCTCGCGCGCCCGCAGATAGAGGAACGCAGAGAGAGGGCGGAGGAGGGAGCAGCCTGCCGCTTGCACTCAGCCAAGATCGATCCGACCCGACAGACTTGGGACTAAGAGATGAGTGTGCCCGGTGGGGCCCTTTGGCTCCCGGAGGACGGCGACCGCCCCTCCCCTACCCTCAGCGCAGCCTTCTCGGTTTTTCCTGTATTGAGTGAGGACTCAAGACTCTAAACCTCTGGGAGGAGTCCGTATAGCACATCGGCGCCGTGTTTGCCCCAAGGGCTAAATAAAAAGGATTGCCCAGTTTGTGATTCTTAGATCCTTGTCCACCCACACCCACTCTGGTGCCCCTTTCTCACCGCCCCCTCCCCCAACCCAGAGCCCAGAGCACTTGCGGCAGGGAGCGTGGAGTGTGCTGTCGCTCAGCTCCGGGGAATTCTACTCGCCTTTGCTAAGCCTTCAGTCAAGGTCCGGACTGGCGTGGAGGAGGGGCAGAAGTCCCAGAGATAGGACGGGATAGGACAGCCCTTGCATGGTTAGGGGTGGAGGGGTGGGAAGAAAGAAGCTTATGTCACTCCACCGGGGGAGGGGCTGTGCCACGGGTGTGCACATTCAAGGTCTTCTAGGAGCCTTTCACCTCAGGGGGAGGGGTCCACTGGCTCCCTGGTGGGGTATACATGGGATGGAGCGATGGCCGCAGCTACTGAGATGGGTGGCAGGTGGCTAGGACATCTAGCACCTTCTCTGGACAGTGTCATGGGACTTGGGAAGAGGCCTAGCCTTGGTGGGCAGCACTTGGTCTGTAGCTGGCCACTCCATACCATCGCCCAGCCCCCAACTCCAGTGCCCCAGCCTTGAGCCTTCTACTGCATTGCCCCTGCCCCATCCCAGGCCTGTGCGTGGGTTCCCCCCACCCCCCACCCTCCTCATGGACGGATTGGGATGTCACTGGTTGTGCTGGAAGGAATGACAGCTGCCTGGCCTCAGGAGCTCAGGGCGGGCAGCAGGGAGCCAGTGGAGGCTAATTTTACTCGCTGGGAGCAGAGAAAGTAATCCTCCCCCTAGTCCGCCCCCACCCTGGGCTGGCTCAGCAAGGCAGACTTGGCCCAGCAGGCTCAGCCGCTCAGTCCCCAAGGCGGGGGCATTGGGGACGCAGGGAAGAAAGGGCAGTGGGGTGGGGGAGCAGGGAAAGCGAGATTGCCAGGGAAGCCATGGAGCCATCCTCGCCCCAGGACGAGGGCCTGAGGAAGAAACAGCCCAAGAAGCCTGTTCCTGAGATCCTGCCGAGGCCACCGCGGGCCTTGTTCTGCCTGACCCTCCAGAACCCTCTGCGGAAGGCCTGCATCAGCATCGTGGAATGGAAGTATCCTTGTGGGCCATGCAGTGGGGTGCCGTGATGTGGGGGATTGGGGGTGAGCACAGGACATAGACTCTGAGGGCCAGGGAGACTGGGAACTTGGGAAAGGGTGGACTGCCATGGAACGACACCAGGGGCCTGTGGGAAGGAAGCCTTTAACTATGTGGGAGAGGAGGAAGAGGAGGAATTGGTGGGTTTCCTGGGGCCTGAGGGTGTGCCCCAAGGCCTCGCTGACAGTCTGAGATGCCTGTTGGCCATCTGTGGAGGGGGCCGGTTACATGGGAACTTTGACCAGGGACCCAAGTGCACATTACCATAGGCCACTTCTGGGGTTTGGGGGACAATGGTCTCAATTTGGAATAGGATCGGGCCTGGAAAGGAACTGTGGTCTCTGAGAAACTCCTCTCTAGACTGGGAAGACGCGGGAGTGGAGGGAAGGCTCCCTTCTGCTGTCCCCTGGGGGCGCGGCCCAGTGGGGTAGGGCTGCAGGAGGAAAGGGCTCCTAGGAAGGCTGGAGGAAGAAGCCTGTCTGCATTCACCTCCCCTGCTGGGGGCAGGGGCTTCCAGTCCCTTTCTTTGTTTGCATGAGCTCCAGGAGGAAGGACGATGAAAATATCTGGGTTATTTGGGGCAGAGAGGAAGGAGCAGAGAGGAGGGTGCCCTGGGTCAAGTGGGTTCTGAGGCAGCTGCTCAGGCATATTTAGAATATTTCTGAAGGGTCTGGAAGACTGGGCTCCCCCAGCTGTTCCCTGGCAGAAGGGCAAATGAGGAATAGCTGGAAGGACACGGGGAACATGGGCCTCGCCGGCAAGAGAGCTAGCACCGGGGCAACCCCACTTCCACCCCGCAGAGCTGGGCCACATCCGACCTTCCCTACCTGCCTCTGTAGGACCAAGTTTACTTGCAGGGTCTCCCTGTCCTCCATCTCTGCTACCCAGCCTCTTGTCCCCTGGGCTTCTTTGCCACACTGCCCTCCTCTCTGTCAAACCCTAGAGGTTACTGGGGAGGGAATGGGACCTTTCAGTCAAACCTGTCTACTTCATGTGTCTCCCACCCCCTCCCAGACCACACACACACAACTCGCCGTCTCTCTCCCTCTGTTTACCTGAACAAATGCCACTCTGGCTTTCTAATGGGTCAGTAAGTCACAGAAGGCATGGCCTGGGGTACCCTCTGGAAACAGCCTTGGAGGGAGGATGTGTCTGGGATGGGCGGCTTGTGAGTGGGCGTGAGCACATGTGTTTGCACAGCTCTGGGCATTCGGGCTGCACCTCTCCAGCTTCCCTCTCTCAACTCTGCTCTGGGGATACTTAGCCCTAACATGCATCAGCCCCCCAGCCTCCTTTACCATTTCTCTGGGTGAGCCCCACAGGCTGTCTGGCCAGAACCTCAGAAAGCCATGGCTCCTGGGGAGGGGCTTAAGGGGGTAGTGGTAGGCACATAGAAGGGAGCACTTTTTGAGACTTCTTGGCCTTTAAAACTGAATAGCCTTCAGCCAGCAACCTTTGCAGTCCAAAAGATCTCATCGGAAGTCTGGTCCTGGGGCAACCTGGCCTTTTCCGTACCTGCAGGAGACAGGGCAGGGGCATCGTGGCCGTGCCTCCCAGAGCCTGCCCAGCAGCCTGGCATTATCATCAGACTCCAGAGTGACCCTCAGTGCCCTCTTCCCTTCAGCCTGCAAATCCCACACCTCACTCAGAGGCTTTCCTTAACCCTGGCACCAGACCCTTCGAGACCATCATCCTGCTCACCATCTTTGCCAACTGTGTGGCCCTGGCTGTGTACCTGCCCATGCCGGAAGACGACAACAACTCTCTGAACCTCGGCCTGGTAAGAAAGGTCCTCTGGCCCTCTTCCTGCAGGCTTGTGGCCCAGGTTGGGGGAGGCCCTCTTGGTGCACCGTTCTGGTGGATGCTGGTGATTCGGCTTCCTGAGGATGCAGACCTGGCCTTCCTAACACCTGCAGGGTGGCTGAGTGGTCCAGCAGCGTGCCCAGATTCTGTGAGATGATCCGTCAGTACCAGCCAGTACACACTGTGCCCTGGCACTGAGCTAAGCACTAGCCCCATCGAGTAGCTCTATTTGACAGATGTGGAAACTGAGTTTTCAAAGGGCAGCTAGTGGGCCACGGAGACTGAATGCTAATTTCCTCTCTGGGTAATCTGGAAGAAACTCGCTGTGGCTGAGCTTGCCTTCATGGGAGAGTTTGATCTAGGAATCCGAAGAGCATGTTTCAGAGTTCCATAATTCCACCCCTCCTCCCTCCCCCAGTAAGTGCCTGGAACCATACCATGCCAGAGCCTTGGTTCCATTTACATGCCTTAAGAAGTTGACTACTTTTGCAAGAAACTCTGCTCTCCTTAGAGAATATTAACTTACACATTAGGCATTATGTCATCTTCTATCTATGAAACAGAATGGCTGCCTTGAAATTTTCCAATGCTCCTGTCTTCCTTTAGTTTCTGGGCTGGAGCTGCAAAGCCTCGAGTCAGGTCTAGAACTCAGAGACAAGATTATGAGTTCTCTGGAAGAGGGAAATCTGACCAGAAACGTTTTCAAAGCAGCAAATGTCACCTTACATGACAGAGCTCAATGGGATTTTAATGATCAAGGAGGAACCCTAACCTGACCCTTTTTGTGAAACCCAGAGAGGGTGGAAATACCCAGGGTCACACAGCCAGCTTCTAGCTGAGGCCTTATCACTCCCCCTTGTCGGTTTCTCTCTCCAAAACCTAGCAAGAGGGAAATGAGAGGTGCCAGAGCAGGAGGCATTCATCTCTCCTACCCTTTGGGCAGCCTTGTAGGTCTCTGGGAAAGGTCGGTGACTTCCCAGTCATCCAGAATTGCCCATGGTTTTTCAGAAGGAAAGCCTGTGGACCAATTCTGAATTAACTTTCTCATTCAGTTAACAGTAGTACCAGGGCTTCAGAAAGTTCATGGAAAATGTATACTAAGAAAAAAACTATGCATAGATTTCAAAAATATTTTGCACCGAAAGAAACTCCATTTTTCCACAAAGTTTTGGGCATGCTATCATATTGCTTACTGCATATATAGCTCTGGCACATACTGGGGGTATAATTATGAATGAAATAGTAATAGTCCTTCTCTTTGCAGAGCTTAATTAA